GCTGATAGAACTGGAATCAGGGCTCTCCAGGGTGCGATGGAGGGTTTTCCATCTAGTGCAGTCCCAAAGGGTACAATGTTGGCTTTCCATCCAAACCACTGCTCCTCCCATGTCCCAGGGTTGAAGTCATCCTCCCAGCCTGGCTCTGTTAACTCTGTCCCTCTCTGTTCCCTTTTGCTCAGGTGCACGAGGAAGGAGCGGTGTGAGCGCTCCAGCGAGCCTCGGAGATTCGCCTCGGAAATGAAGCAGTGTGTCCGGCTCACCGTGCATCCCAACAACATCTCCGTCTCCCAGTACAACGTATTGGTGAGGAACATTAATCCTTGCACACACACCCCCAGGTTTAATCTGCCCATGCGCAGAGCCAGGTATGTGCCACCTGGATTCAGCATGAGTGGGGAGGACTGGCAGCTGATGCAAGAGGTTCTCCAGACTCCATTAACTTCCTCATCAACTGTCACAAAGGAAGAGTTGCCATGGGAGGACATTTTGGCCTTGGTTATCCCTTGTCTAGAAGTGTGGAAAGAGGCTTTCCTGTTTGCTTTGAGTAGATGAGGGCTCGTCTGAAGGAACTCTGTGCCCTGCAAGTGTTACATGCACCCAGAGTAGTTGATTTCTTCCCTGGGAGAGGGATTTGGTTATGGCTGGGCATGGACTTTAGGCAAGGAACATTATCATGGTTAGAAATTACCTTCTAGAAGAAGGGCAAGTGAGGAAGACCATGAGTTATTTCAGTAAACTCCAAGTTCCCATCATCTTGGGTGGAAATATCTCCTTCTTAAGCCACCAAGAATTCCACCCTGCTCCAGCTCCAGCACAAAGTATGCAGAGCAGAGAGGCAGGATGCTACACAGAGGAACCTGATGCTGCCAAGGTTCATGCTGTCTCTTGTGATCTTTCTCAGCACAAGGTTTAAGCTTTATGGCCTTGGGCTACTCAAATTAGCATCCAACGAAGCCACATAGTGAATGCTGGCAGAGCATTAGATAATCCTGATCTTTTTCTGGGCTTTAGATGAGAAATGTCTGTTGGAGATGTAACCACCTTGTGGTTTCTCTCCTCACTCACAACAGCAGCACATTGTGTGGTGAGATCCCAACGCTGTCTGAGAAGAAGGCAGAGACCCATTTCATTCAGGTTACTAGGGCTCTATCTTCTTGACTATGCTAGTTTGGGCTGAAAGTAAGTTGATAACCCAGCCCCCAAAAGCTCTGTTTCTGTACAAGTTGGTCACTAGCCCCACACCCTGAAAGCTCTCCATGGAATTGTTCAAGGTGTGGCTGCCAGACATGTTCCAGGTGACAGGATATGGAATGCCAGGGTTTCTCCAGTGATAATGAAATGAGCCTTTCAAAGCCTGCATGTCCAATCACTGCTGTTTTGTTTCAGCCTCCTAACTTTGCTGTGACTTTACTTTCCCAGGCTTCAAACAAAACTGATCTGAGACATCTTAAGTTCTTTGTTCTTCTGGGAGTTCAAGGTTCCTTTTTCTTATTCTTTCAGTAGTCGTTGAATTCTTTCATGTTGGAATAAATCCTGGGGGACTTGCTGACTCAGGGTGATTGGAGACAATAACAGCATAAAAGACCTTTACCTGTAGGTTACTCCCAGGGCAAGTCTACCCAGAGCTGCTGTGATCAGAAGTTTCCATCATCTGACTGTTGCCCAATAATCTGCATGAATATTTCAATGGGAGTCTCAGCCCAGTCCCAGATTGGTGACCAAGCTCAACCACATCTACAGATGGTCTCTTGGCAAACCTCGTCATCAGGGATTGTAGCGATAGGACAAGGGGTGATGGGTTCAAACTGAAACAGGGGAAGTTCAGGTTGGATATAAGGGAGAAGCTCTTCCCTGTGAGGGTGCTGAGGCTCTGGCACAGGGTGACCAGAGAAGTGGTAAATGCTCCATCCCTGGCAGTGTTCAAGGCCAGGTTGGACAGAGCCTTGGGTGACATGGTCTAGTGTGAGGTGCCCCTGCCCATGGCAGGGGGTTGGAATTGGATGATCTGAAGGTCCTTTCCAACCTTAACTATCCTATGATTCTATGAAACCAGAAGAGGAGCATCAACGAATGAATGGCTGGTGGTGTCCTTACTGATTCTCACTTGGGTTTTAGCAAAGGGTCAACGATACTAAGTTCTTGCCCACAGATGTAGAGAAGGTATCCATATGGCCATATCCTCACTGCAGCAGCTGCAGAGCCGGCTTGTGGCATGTAGGGCTTCTTGTCTGTTCAGTGTGTGCACTGGCTTACGACTTTTGTGGTCTATCCATTGGTGTCATGTTCTGCAAGGCACAGCTTCATTCTGCATCATCCATGTTCAGGGAGAGATTTGTTAAACAGAATAGTCTTACTTTCTCCATTGCCAGCAGGGTATTAATGAGCAGGGAGAATGGATTTAGCCTGAGTGTTCAATCCATCCAAATAACCAAAGCTTTTTCCTACTGCCCATAGAAGACAAAAAACCTCACCTTTCCCATAGCCATTCCCATTGCCTAAAAATAAACATACTCTCACAAAGGCTTTAATGTCAGCCAGGACTGAGGCCTGTATGCTCAGCCTTCCCTCTGAGGGCACCTAGTGTGAAGAAGCTCCAAACTTTCTCTAAGTGAGGGAAACAATGTGGGGGAGCAGTAAGCATTGTGTGATGTTATCATCCTCTCCTGCTTTTTCACCTGGACTGACCTCCTCTGTTCTTTGTGCTGGTAGAAACAACACTTCAGCATGCATTTGTGTCTCCTTTCAGTGGCCTTCACCTCAGCTGGGGCCTCAGCTATCTCCTGGAGGAGGCAAGTGTGGAGAGCACCTGCATCTGTGCCTTTGCCAAGTGGTTGCTCTAGTGTTTGGTCACAACAGCACTAAATCTATACTAACTCTTAAGTCTTCAACAGGTTCTAGAAGTACCCTGGGATGCCTCTCTGTGTTCAGACATGATCTGCTGGGTTGGGCAGGACCCTCAGTGATGGAAAGCCATGGTGCAGAACCTGGGGAGTTAGTAGCATGAGTGCCCTTCTCCCTGATAGAAACCAGCCATGAGATTCCTTTTTCACGAGCAATGACATAGCGATGCCAGTGGGTGCTGTGAACTCCAAACCATGGGCAATTCCTCCTTCACAGCTTTTATTATGTCTGGAGCCCCTTTATAGCATGTCCCCAGAGCCAGCTGCTTCTTTGGTGGGATGGGCAGGAGAGGTTTGCTGTGCCTCTAGAGACAGCGGGGTGTTTTTTGTGGTGGACTGAAGGCTGTAACTAGACTCTCCTTACACAGGAACTTGGTGACAGAGCGCTCCCCCATCTGCTGATGCTAGGAGAGCAGGCCGTAGAGAGTTAGACTGGAGCGCTACAGTTTCTCTGTAGTCTGCAGAGTGCCTCTTGTGAGTAGTAGTCACCTTCCTCAGAAACCGCGTGCCTTGGGGGCCACCAAAGCCCTGGTCTTCACGGCTGCCTCCAAAGACTCCCTGCCTAACCTTACACTTGCATGACAGATAGTGAGCACTCCCTCCCCTCCACTGACCCAGCCAGCACTGGGGTGCAGTGCCGTTGTCCCTGCATAGCCACGTACCACTTGTGTTGGCATCAGCATCTCATCCCCTTCCCCTTCCGCACACACATCCCTCTCCTGAATCGCTGCTTTCTGTTGAAGGAGGATGCTCTCTCTAGCAAGAGGCTCTTTGTCCAACCTCTCCAGTGTAATTCTCTCCTGCTGACCCAGCTCTGTAGTTTGGCTTAGTATTCTCTCTTTTCTTTTTTTTTTTTCTTCTATGTCTTCTTCCCTCCCTTCATCTTTGCTTGCAGCTGGTCTTGGAAACCTACAATGTGCCCGAGCTGTCAGCAGGAGTCAATTGCACCTTCGAGGACCTTTCGGAGATGGATGGCTTGGTGGTGGGCAGTCAGATCCAGTGCATCTCGCCAGCTGCCAAAGAAGTGCCCCAGATCATCACAGAGAATGGTGGGTATCCCACAGCTCCTCTATCTGCACCACTTCTCCCTCCTTTCCTCACCTCACATCCCTCTGTCTATCTTCTTTCTCCTAAAGCAGAGTTTGGGACCCTGAGCACAGGGAGTAGGTGGGATGCTGTGCTGGTGGAGCTGCACAGCAGCACACTGAGCTGTCTGAATGTGTGTGTGTTTACGTGTGCACGTGTGTGCAAGCACTGAGTGGCTATACCAATACCCGCATTTAAGGTGCTGGTATGTGTGATGCTGTGTGTTTTCAGACTGCCACCGAGTGGCAGTTGCATATATCTAACAAAGACAAGAGGTGGATGTGGGATATTCGCTCACCTTTTGGCCAGGCTGGTGTTAAACAACCCAGGGAATGAGGCTGTGTGTGCTCTTAACACATCCCATCCCATGCAGCAGCTAGAAAGTCCTGCAGACCTCAATGATCCTGTCTGTAACTTCACCCTGCTCCTCCCACATTTAGATCTGTAATCTCAGGTTCTTGTCTCTGTCTCTTTCAGCCATTCCAGGTTTGCTGCTGGCTCCAAGTAGTCCAGCACAGAAAAATACCTCATTTCCAAGGATCTGTCTGTGTCCATCCCCTCCCAGCTTCCTGCTCTATTTTTATTTCCCTTTTCCAACTAATTTTACAGATGCTTTCAAGAGAACCTGTGTCTCTTTGCAGAGACTTTTCTATACAAACCTTAACCCTGTTGATCACCCCAAGAGATGCAGAGAGGATGCTGCCATTTTTGTCCTTGGTTTCTTGTATTCACAAGAATATTCAGCAAGAAATTCACAAGAATTAACTGTGAAGTTTGTTTCAGGCCACAGAAAAAGAAATGACACAAACTGTCACCATCATCTCTGCTCTCCCCAAGCCTCACAGGGTTGTGTGTGCTCTCCATTGTGGTCCCAAAACAAGCCCCCAGAGCGCTGTTACCATTTTCAGGTCCCACTGAGTTATCTGTTGTGTTTGCCTACTAAGATAGATGCCAGAAACTATTTTCTTGCTATGGACATCTGTCCCAGGCCAGGCTATAACCAACCAGCAAACAAAAATAGCAGTGGAAGCTGGAGGCAGGATGAGAGAGAGAGATTTATATGAAATGAAGATGGGCACCTGCGCCTTGATCAACTTCAGCAGCTGGTGCTCTGCACCTCTATACAGACCAAGTCCTCCATCCATAGTGCCAGAAGCTGGGTTTGAACCAAAGGATGCATAGCAAGTCTGGTCCCTGGGGCCATCCAATTCTCACACCCCATTCCCTGGGGTAATGGTTGGACTTGATGATCTTAAAGGTCTTTTCCAACCATTCTATGATCCTAAAATATACGCAAGGTGCTGGCAAAGTTGTTGAATCCATAGTGGCTCATAGAGCTGTCAAAGCTGGTGACAGCAGATGGGCAGCAGAGTCAAGCACTGGCAGCAAAATATAGTCAGTGAAGTGTGTTGTCTGTGTGTACACTTGTGTGTCCATAGGTGAGTGTGCACATAGACCCACAGTGTCATGAACTGTCAAGTTTGCTTTGGCCTGATGGATGAATGGATCTTTTGGGGGAGAAGGAAAAAGAAGAGAGGTGAAAGGACCAGCCAGGTTGAAGTCTTGAGTTAAACATGGGTCCCTGCCCCACCAAATTACTGCAATTAATGCACCCACTCATTACCCACAGCTGATGAGCTCTGGGTAGGGCTTTTGGCACTGCGGGGAGAGGTAATAGTTGGGTGGGAGAAGTGGGAAAGGGAATGAGGGGATGGTGTGTAGGAGCTGAGGTTCAGGCTTTGCTGACAATGGGTCTGCTATGGAAATGGGTAGGTCCTTCTCTCTCTCACTGTGGTGTCTCTCACGCTGAGGTGGGTTCTTTGTAGCCAAAGGCTGGGGTGAATGGGGTGAGTGAAGGTGGAGGAACTGTTCACATGGGAGTCTTCCTGTTCACCAGTATTTCCCAGGTTGCAGAGAGGGAGCCTCTACCCTGTCCTCACTGTTATGGTGTCTGTCCTCCTTGCTCATTGCTTCATCCTGCTTTCTCAAGATACAGCTTGTCTTTGGGGGCAGGTTCTGGAGGTGGCTTATTTCGGGTTGTCCTGGGTGTTAAGCCCTATTCAGAGATATGATGGTGAGGAGAAACTAGCCCTTTCTTTATCCCATTAGGGAAGCAGGCACGTTTATCTTTCAGACAGAGTATGCACAGGCCACCAATGTTTAGGACCAGCAGTCAAATTTTCCGTAGGCCACTTCCTGCTGGAGACCCCAAATGAATCAGCAGCAAGGAGGAACTTTAACAGCCTTTTAATTTCAGACATCTGCATCCTTCCTCTGAGCTTAGCTTTACCACTCGATGACTTCAGTCACCATATTTTTGGAATTAGTAAGGTATAGTCTAGACCAATCGTCATCATCCAGCCCAGATTCTGCTCTAGGAATGATAATTTCCAGTGATGAAGACATATTCCATCACCCCAGTACCATAAAAGGGAGAAGAGAACTGGGGTCTGGAAGGATTTTACTGCACTTTCTACGTTTACTGAGGTTAGACTAGCCAAGGTATGGTGAGACAGCTCTAACTTCAGTCTGGTGGCATGGCCAACAGGGCTTTATTAGGCTACCAAAGCCATCACACATTGATGTGTCTATTTTTTCCCCAGGAGACCATCACATTGTCCAGCTTCAGCTCAAGTCCAAGGAAACGGGTATGACCTTTGCCAGCACCAGCTTCGTCTTCTACAACTGCAGCGTCCACAACTCGTATGTGCATTTCTGTTGGTATCTGCTTTCCATTCCACCCCTGGATCTGCCCTAGAATTCACTGCTGACCCATGTGTCCTTCAGTTAGGTGCAGACCAGGGGTCAAGGTCAATTGTGTGATATTCAGCATGGTGGTGTCCCTTATGAGAAAACAAGTGTAGTAGAGTGACCATTTGTTCTGCTGATGAGCCTCCTTTGCAGGAAGGCATGGTCTTGTGGAGTGGTAGGTCCTCTTGCGTCTCTCATGTGATGCTGACGAGAATCACATTAATGGGAGTTCATCACAGAATTGAGTTAAAAGTGAGTCATGACCTCAGCAAATAGCCCCTCATCTTCCTATTAAGCAGTTTTCTGTGGATGGCTGGACCTTGCTCATACCTATGCACCTCCAACTCTTATCCATGCTGTCAGTCCCACTAGCAGGACCCTGCTCCATGTGGCTAGCACAGGCTTGGACCCTCAGATCAGGCAAGATAGGTGCTTCTAGTTCCTGCATGATGTGAACTGAGCAAGGAACTCCCAGCTGATTCCCTCAAGACCACCTTTCCCATCCTTTGAGCTCCTTTCCTACACCCCATCATTATGGGGTTGAGCTGGCACCCAGGGCTGCTGAAGACCTGTCCCACCAGAGTGCATCTGAAGCTTTCCTGCTAAAGATGCTCTTGCAGCCTTGCTCCACCCCGAGCAAGGCTGAGCAGCTCTGTCCCCACCACTGAGTCATCAGAAGTGCCAAAAGCAGATAATTGCTGTGGCTCAGCAACCCACAAGGAAAGGCAAATCCTATTTCCATGTTCCTGCTGCTTTGACGAACAGTGTCAGAAAGCAAGTGTTGGAGGGGGGAGAGCAGGAGAGATGGTGGTGTTAAATATTTATGGCATGTTTTGGTTCCTTACTTGACAAACTATAATACACTATCCATTTTTAATTTGATGGATCAGAGCAAGCACTTGTTACCAATTTGAAGCTGTACCAGAGCTGCAAGTGGATTGGAGTTGAGCAAGATTTCACAGAGACTGGAACTGTGGCTGTCTGTTGGGCTCAGCCAAGCTCTACTTGGCAATTCTTTCACTCCTGCCTATTAAAAACCCAGCAGCACATAGGGACCAGGAATATTCCCCCCTACCAAGTCCCCATCAGGTAGTTCAGAGCCTGCAGCTACATGACGATCTTCAACAGTGTGAGTGACCAGGAGCTGCGAGCATCATCTTGTGCAGAGAGGTTGTTATGGCTCAGTTTGGTTGCTGGTGAGCAGATGTCATATTAAATATGAAACCAAAAAGAGAAGTGTGATGTAGTATAAGTCAGTGCTGTAACACAGTCAGGAGAGGTGTTTGCAGCTCCTACTCTACAGGGTCTATAGGGCTTAGGAGAGCAAATTCTTGTAAGATGGAGGGAATGGCTCTTTTCTACACCTTGAGTAGCTAACGTCCTACGTATATCCTCTGCTCCCCAGGCAGCTGCTACAATAGTCTTTTCTTCTCTGCTGAGATGAGTAAAAGAAGAATAGAGTTGATATATGCCTGGAGAAGAGAAGCTGCGTGGAGACCTCAGGGCAGCTTCCACTATCTGAAGGGGGCTACAGGGATGCTGGAGAGGGACTCTGCATCAGGGACTGGAGCGATAGGACAAAGAGTGATGGGTTCAAACTGGAACAGGGGAAATTCAGGTGACATATAAGGCAGAGGCTCTTCCCTGTGAGGGTGCTGAGGCGCTGGCACAGGGTGCCCAGAGAAGCTGTGGCTGCCCCATCCCTGGCAGTGTTCAAGGCCACGTTGGACACAGGGGCTTGGAGCAACCTGCTCTAGTGGAAGGTGTCCCTGCCCATGGCAGGGGTTGGAAGTGGATGAGCTTTAAAGTCCCTTCCCACCCAAACCATTCTGTGATGTCCAACACTCTCATCAGAACTCGCACTAATAAGCCTGTGGGACATGGGGAGAAAATTCCCTCCTTCGTCCTCGGCTTTCCCTTGGCCACCTTCTCACGATGTGTTCCCAGCTCCCAGGGCACTGGTGCAGCTCTGTGGAGGCAGCAGGACTGTAGCAGTTTCCACTTATCTACTGATATCTTATTTTTTGTTACACTCAGGATGTTGATATGGGGCGGGAAAAAGGGGGACATCTCTTATGTATGAAGTAGCAGTTTCCACTTATCTACTGATATCTTATGTTTTGTTACACTCAGGATGTTGATATGGGGTGGGAAAAAGGGGGACATCTCTTATGTATGAAACTGAGAACTTGTTGATAGTCTGAATACGATTTGTAACAAGGCAACCAAAATACAACAAACATCTATTATTACTCTAGTTACAATGATGTGAATGCAATCTAATTTGTCTAATTAGTCTGAGATACTTGTGACCCCAGTGACAACCAGCTCAGGCAATACCAAGTCCAGCATCACCCTGCACCCTCATGATGTTGGGCCAGTTCAAAGCCTGTGGCCTTCTGCTACTAATGGCAAAAGCAATGTTTGCCAGGCTGTATTTCCCTCTGAGACACACTATCAGTCTCCAGGTTTGTCCTGTTGGCTGATGGGACTTGGCTGGTCGGGTGACTGCTCTTTCTCTCTATTTCCAGGTGCCTGTCATGCGTGGAGAGTCCTTACCGGTGCCACTGGTGCAAGTACCGCCACGTCTGCACTCATGACCCCAGCTCCTGCTCCTTCCAGGAGGGACGAGTGAAGCTGCCCGAGGTAGGCAGGGGCACAGGGCATGGGATATGTCTGTTGGCCCTGGTCAGACCAGCAGAACAGGAAGCCTTCTCCACCCTCTTCCTCCTCCTCTTCTGTTCACCTTCCAGGTGACCCTCACCTTTCCCCCTGCAGATAGCTCTACTCTGCTCTGCTCTAGCAGACCCCAAGGGAGCTGTTCTCTCCCTCCTATACAATACAGGGATTGGGAATTCATTACAAGCTCCTGGGACTGGGAGGCTTGGAAAAGACTGGGCATGCATCTGCTCTTTACTGTGAGGGTGCTGAGGTGCTGGCACAGGGTGCCCAGAGAAGCTGTGGCTGCCCCATCCCTGGCAGTGTTCAAGGCCAGGTTGGACACAGGGTCTTGGAGCAACCTGCTCTAGTGGAAGGTGTCCCTGCCCATGGCAGGGGGTTGGAGCTGGATGAGTTTTCAAGTCATTTCTAACCCAAACCACTCTGTGATTCCATGATTGTATGATTCTAAGCAGATTCCCCAAGCTGCTGAGAACAGATTTAGGGGGAGAATTTAGGGCTCTATCCACAGTGTTAGTGGATTTCATCCATGCTTCGTGGGTAAGGTACCTAATGGCTACTGCATCAAACTGCCAGATGAGACTAGGGAAGCCTTATTGCCAGTCACTGAGCTGAGCTGGACCTTGAGGCTTAACACAGAGTTGGCAGCTGCACTGGAAATGCTGTCTGGCTCATATTATAACTAATGAGCACTTGCAGACAAGTGGAGTTTGGGAGAATACAAATAGGAAGCCACTTAATTACTTCCTGGTCAGGAATGGTCTGAAAGCATCCCGGCCTGTCTGGTAAATGGCCTGAGATGGCTCATTGTTTGCCTGGCCCAAGGGACCAGTAACCGTTATTTTTCTGAACCTCCAGGCACAGGCTGCTGAAGGCTCAACGTGTATTGCATTCAGAGGATGAAATCCCCACTGCTCCCTGTGCTGTGTCTGGTGTCTGAAGTGATCCTTCACCTACCCACAGCCCATGCTCCAGGCAAGCCAGTTTGCTGGACCAAATGACACACTTGTAATGTCTTCACACCCCCATAGCACCCCCCATTCCCTCCCGCCCTTTATGTTCTGGCTGAGATGTCACATACATGCTGGTTGAAGTGTCCTGGAGCAGACATCCTGAACTGCTGTGGCATTGGGACAGGCCATAAATATGAATGAGCAGGGAAGTTGCCAGTTCTTCATCTACCAGGATTCAAAATATGCTGTAAAGCTGCTTGAAATGTTGCTTGGAAGCTACAGGGTTTGACATCCTCTTCTCAGGGGTGAAGCAGTGAAGGAAGGCAGCCCAGGGTTCAGTCGTTCTGGCCCTATTCCCTTGCATACACCCTTGGCCAGTCCTGTTGGCCATAGGTCTCAGTGCATTTCACTTCAGGAACTGGAGGGACCTCAACCTCTTGCTCAGGTGGGGCTCCCTGGATTACTATGTCTCTCTTTCCTGCTGTGCAATACCACCACCACTTATCTCATCTGGTGTGTTTCACGTACCAAGCACAGGACTCACCTTCCTAGTTCTCTCTTGTCTCTTGCACAAAGTGAAATACCTACAGATCTCAGTGCATCTCCTCCTCCCTCAACCCCTATCACATCCCTGGTATTTCTGGCACTTGTTCCTATCATAAGGGAAATCATGAGAAGCTCTATAACATCCCAGTTCCTTAGAGAAGATACTGGGGGTGGCACAGCCCTTAGTCTTTATCCCCTCTGCAGAACTGGGGAGGAGACAGTGGACTCGTCCTCTTCAGATCAGCCTATTTCAACATGTTTTCCATTGCTGCTTCATGACTTCTTGCTAGTTCTGTTTCTGAAAGGTATACTCTTCAGGCTAGGAGACAGCTCCAGTCCGGGGGGCTTTGTCTGTCAGTGTAGACTGCTCTTTTTCTCTTCCCTTTAACAGATGATTTCCTGCTCTGATCTTGCAAAGTGATTTGCATGGCAGCAGGGAAAGGCACAAATCTGACCTTAGAAGATGACCACTGATCTACAAAACAATCACAACATCGTGCGACACACGTATGTTACGTTGGCCATTGCTAATGAGGGCTGCAGCAATGACCTTAGAGACACCTCACTGGCTTCTGCAGCAAAACCATCTCTGGCCACAAACCACTTTCCTACAGGAGAAAACGTCTGGCAGTGAGCTGCTTGGCTCAGGAGCTGGTTTGGCTGCCTGCTGTGCAGAAGAAACAGCACCGGAATGACTGGGCAACATCTGCAAGAATGGCCTTGCAGAACCCCAGACTTTCAGAGCTTGCTTTCTGCCTGGCAGTGTGAAGAATGCTCTGTAGCTTCAGGGTTCTTCTCATTGCTGTCTGTGTGTTCGTGGCCGTCAAGGACAATAGGGCTGAGGAAGAATGGGTTCACATGTGCTTTCTGACACACACAGATTTACATTCGCTCTCTGGCCAGAGAGGTTTTGTCAAATAGCGCTTTGAAGAAAGGCTTCTCTTGAAAACCCATCTTCTCACTGACTCATCTCCCTCACTGGAATTTCCACTGTCTGTTTTTCCCTTTCACCTTTCATTCTTTCCTTTTCTGTCCTCTCCCCATGCCTATTCATCGAGTGGGTTCTTTGAACAATAGAAACCATTTGGTATCTTGAAGCCAAACCTGGCTCCTTCTTTCCCATCCAGACCTTCACTCAGTTCCCACTGACTTAACATGACTCACAAGGTCAACAGGACTGAGGCCCATTCCCAGATTTCCCAATGGCATCTTCAGTAGTGCTCAAAATGTACCACCTTTTTGAGTGGGCCTATTTTTACTGGCCTTTCATCTCCATCTGCAATGCTCCTTTCAATCCTTCCCTCTACAAGCACTTGGACCTGTGGAGGATGAGGAGGGGGAAGTGTTTGCTATCATGCAGGCTTAAGTACCTGCTAAATCAGTAAGTTTTGAGGCGGTACTGATGGGGAAACTGTACTACCAGTGTGGGATGGTTGGATGATCCCATTTGCAGTCCTTCCATGAGTCTGCTGAGCAAATTAGCATAGCCAGCTTCTAGGGATCATATGGTCTGATTGCACCAAGAGACTCCTTGCCAAGCATACACATATTGGTGTTACTCTGTCAGATGGACTGGTGCCAGGAACTCCTTCCTCCTGTAACCATCATTGCCAGCATGCCAAGCCTACTTCCTTCCCCCTCACTATGGCCCTCACCTTCTCTTGTTGATACATCCACCTCCAGGTGATTTTTCTTCCTCTCCTTCCCGTACAGCATCTTGCCATCATGTGGGAAGAGGCTTCCTACTCTCCAGATGGCCTGGGCTGCAAATGGACCAATTGGGATGGTACCCATTGCCCCTGGATCAGCCCATAGCACTTTGCACCGAGGCTTGAGCCTTCATGTACTCCTGACTCCATCAATTCCTTAGCACATCCCACAAGTTTCTGGATTCCCATGGGCTCAGCCTGCTTTTCCTTCAGGTCTTCTTCATGTTCTGTAAGAGGATCTTGGGGTTTTAACTTCATATTTTCTTTCCTTGTAGTCTGAGTTGCTGAGTAATGCAGAGTGCAGGATGAATTTGAGACCAATGCAGTGTCATAGCAGAAAGGCTTTGGCCATGACCCACACTGTCCAGAAGGCAAAATGTTGTTTCTATAGCCTCTGATCTACCATCCAAGGGTGGTCTTTGACTTAAATGGTAGCTAGCTGTGATCAGCCAGCCCCAGGCTGGGACAAGGCAGGTGTCCTACCACTGCTTAGCAAAGCTAAACCAGAGGTGGAGAAAGGGTAGAATAGGCACATTCACTGCTATCAACCAAGGAGAGTGACTTTCCTACCTGTCACTTGTCAGGTGCTCAGTGAATCACTTCTGCCCAAAATAAAGCTGAATGAACTCATCTGGGAGCTTTGGGAAAGCCCGTGTTTGCTCCTGGTGAAGAACTCCAGCATGGTCGTAAAGCAAGAGTATTTATGACTATGGCACTGATCTCAATCAAATAGAGTTGGCAATGTCTCTGGGTGATTTGCAGCAGGTTTTTTCTTCACCTTGGCATATAATTTCCCTTTACAGCAGGTTTTCAAAAGCCACGTCCACTAGCTTGAAATATACTGGGTGACTTCTTGCTGGTATTATTGCTATTGAGGGCAGGAAGGGCAAGAATGAGAAAAAAGAGATGTTTTAATACTGAAGTGGATTGTTCTTGGTTTTTTCTCTAAGAGAACTGGTGGCAATAGTGGAGAGAATTAGTCTCAAAGATATAGGGGAGCAGGCCAAGTTTCTGTTTATTTCTTGGCCATCCTATCTCTGATTTTGACATTTGTTGCTGACTGTATCTAAAGTCATAGTGCAGGCTCAGTGTTGCACCACGAACCATTACAGACTAACACAGTGTGAAATCAAACATTACTCACCTGGCACAATCACCAAGTAAAAGCTCAGTTATTTTCTTCTGTAAATGGACAACACAGTCAAGAAGTGGATGGAAACTGAGTCACGGAGGAGTAAAGCAATTGATTTGGGCGTCTCTGGTGTGATAGGAGCTGCAGAAAGAGCATCTGTCTCTCCTGATATCTATTATCCCATACACCTGATTGCATCATCTGTCTTGTTTTTAAACAGACAAAGATCCAACAGGGTAGTTTTCATGTCAGTGTTTCACAGACATCTGAACAAGGATGGGTAAGCTTGGGCTTGAGTTGATGGGATAAAGGATTAAGTCTTCTTTTGTGCTGTCTTCTCTAAGATGAACACTATCCTGTTCCGGACTTTGCAAGGATTTTAGCATTATGTGGAGAAAGAGAAGGGGGGAGGGGGAATAGCAGAAACCAAAATCAAGCATAGATAATATCTATTATCCACTGGGTTTAAAAGATATGTAATCGTTTAATTACCTTGAAGGAGGTTTTCATCTATCCCTGCTCAGCCGATTTATGTGTGTGTGTGTTTTGCTTCCTCCCCCCAAACAAGCGTTTTATTAAAAGGGTTTTCATCAGCTGCCTAAAAAGAGAACAGAAAAAAGATCTCGC